AGTATAACAGTATTATTATGATTGTCTTGTTCCAATACGTTTTGTGCGTTAAAAGAAGGAACATGTTTTGCTAATGATCCATTCTACAGTCCAGATTTTCTTGTCAGTAAAAAAATATCCACAACTATGTCAATTCAACAGAACACGGGAAGATAAACACTATTTTTGAAAAAAAAAACTATATCATATTTTTATTATTAAAAATAAATATATCAGATGAAAGAACAGTACACTCACCCATGGAAACAAAACAAGAGGCAGATTTTTAATACTGTAAGTCAAGTGTATTCCAAATGAAGAGAGTTTAGTGCTCACCAAGTCTATATAATGAAAACATCTTGTTTAAGAAACAATTAAGTTTCTTTTATTTCAGGTGTTGCCGCCAGTGGCTCAGCGGTAAGTCTGCAGGCGTACGACGCTAAAAATTGGGTTTCGATACCCGTGGTTGGCAGGGCACAAATAGCCTATTGTGTAACTTTGATTTTAACAACAAATAAACCAAAAGTTCAGGTAATCACTTAACAGTGTGAATGCTTAAAAAGGTTTTGTGAAAAGCTGTTCTTTTCATTCAATTATAGGAACCAAGAGTTCACTAATTTCACAAATACATTTTGAGTTATACTTCTAGAAGCATCAGAAAATTAAGAGAAATGCTGCAGACTGTAACTGATCACTAGAAGTTGAGCGTATTTACAGTCAAAATCACCAAGCTTACTCTCGGTTATTTCAACTTGGTACTCAATTCCTAACCAAGATTAAGTTACAAAATAAACAAGGTACGATAACCACACTTGAACTAAGGTTAATGTTTTACAATACTTATCGTTTCTCAAAACACGATGAATTCAATCTGATACGATCCTCTTCAGAAGGATAGTATGTTAGTTTGATAACATAAAATCTACATAGCTAATAACATAAGAAAACCAGACAAGCGTTTCCGTAACTTTTTTTTCTATGTCTAAGACCAAAGTTTAGACACATTATTGATATTTACTTATTAATCACCAACTTATTTTATAAAGAAGATTTTTTTAAACGTTCAACCAAGTAATTTGATTTGTCTGTTAGAATTTTTCTCAGTATTTCACTGACTGATGACATTAGGTTGAAATACGTTTAAAAGTAAATTAGAGTGTCCATTCAATCAGCCACCTGCACACTAGCAGGTACTTCAAAAATTGAACAGAAATATTTTACACTGAAAATGAGCTAAATCAGTACAGCTCTTATATGAATAAACCTATACCCAATATATAAGTACAACACGTCAAAAGAATATAAAAAACAACGAAAAATTAGAAGAATATAGTATTAATAATAAGCGTCATTATTAATTAATTATTTATACTGCATGCGCCCTCTTTTATTTGTATAGATATTACATACAAATGTGCAGTAGATTTTCTACTCTGAAGTAAATTTTGAATTAAAACATGTTGAAACTAAAAGCCTAATTTTCATGACGGATCCTAGATATATGGTTCCTTACCACAACGACCAATAATACCGTTCCTGAAACAAACGAAGCTTTCTGATGACGTATGAACCGCCGCTGCTTGACGAGCACGCTGCGACGACTGTCGCACGTTCAAAAATTGAGGCTTCATGTCATTATATAATCTCATACTTGGAAGGACACATACGCCTAATTTCTTTCCCCCCTCAAATCGTTGTTTATTAAGCCTAAGAATTATATTTAGATTGTTTGATATGGTTACAACTTCATCCAGTTCTCAAGTATTCCATTTCTGCCTGCTGAGAACTTACATATCAAGTTGGTCGACATATACGATAGAAGTTAGACATTTGGTTGAGTTTCCTATTCAAGAATGAAGTATGACTATCATATACCAGTGTTAGTAACTTGGCAGCTAGCATCGATACATCACCTAAAAAGGCAGATCCAAACTCGTCTCTTTACCGATATTGCTGTTTTTAAAAACCGCAATGCACGCGTAAAATTTGCAGTGCGCAAGTCATGCTCTGTCAGCCAACCAATACTAGGATATATAGAAGTCAAGAAACACAAATTCGATCCTTATCTTTTGAGCATAATATAGTTCCAAATACATGAACATACCAGCCTTTACAGGTAAGATAGCTTAGCTGCTACATTTTGATTAGAGCCTCTTTTGGAAATTGTCAATCAATCAATCTGGCCACAGTCATAAATAGAATTCATAAACGTACTGAACTGAAATATTACAGTTCTAACTGTAAGTATCTGATGAATTGAACAAAAAGATTTATCCGACGTTTCAACATGTTTGAAAATAATTGCATGTTCTATAAATCACTGAAATTGAAGGTCACGCGGATTAAGATGTGTAGAAGCACTTACCACATTACAAAAGACTCAGACGAAAAATTAACTGTTAATCTTTTAACCAAACACATAAATCAATCTTGCCGGATACCACGTGACTGTTATTTATAAAGGAGAAAATATATCAAGTGTTTTTCAGAGCTTCTTTAATATCTCAGTGAATTTCCAACTACTTACAATTATGGTTTAATAGAAAATATCGATATGAAAAAACAACTATAGTTACAAGGAACTGTAAATATTAATACATCGATGTAAGATAAACTTTGGAATTACAATTTGCAAATTAAACAGCACTTTAAAAGTACACGTGGGTCACGTGGTCAAGTTAGAGACTTCTGGGATACGTCCTAATTATGAAATACTTACTGGAGACCAGAATGAAGGCAGTCAACTAAAATAATTCGCCGCCATAAAGACCATTTCGGACTCTTTTAAACTGAATAACGGGAATGACTGTTACTTTTATAATGCGCACATAGCTGAAAGTGCAGAGCGTCTTCAGCGGTGTCACGTTTCGAACCCTTTGATTCGTAGTCCAACACACTGACCACTACGCTAGCTCGGACCAGAATTAAACTTTAGGTGATCATTTTATCTGTATGCAGACATAAACCTGTATTTTGAAAAGTTTCCAAGGTCCATTTTAATTCCTAGTGACCACTCGCTCTTTTGCTATTAATATTTAGATATTTTAAAATAACGTTATAAGCGTAATATTTTCGTCTTTCCTTACTTGAAACTAACCATAAGCATCAAAGAACCGCATGATTTTAGTTTCACGTTTGTGTTTCTCATCAGTAATGTACTTTCGGTGTTTGTCTACACTCTGTCGCGTATTGAAAGCTTTCAGACACGAGTAGGTAAAATGTATCAGAAAATGTAACAAAAACATACGAATAACAGGGATGACACTAGAGTTTTTAATTTCTTTATAAGGCTTTTATATAACATTTATCTAAAAAGGGGGGTTAAGTATCATAAAATACGGAAAACTAAAAAAACAAAAACAAACAAACTGTATTTAAGTAAAATACTTTACTAGCTCACACAACTGGATTGGGAAAGGACTCATATTTATATGAAACA